GTCCCATATCCACACACCGGACTTCCGCAGCTGGTACATCACCCAATATTATTCAAGGTTCTTCCCACCATGTTCCAGATAGTCCGGACTCTGGAGTACCTACATTATCCCACCGGTTGTTACGGCCACAACAACCACCTGAGCGGACAAATTCCCTTCTTTCTACACCACATCACGCGCCTTTTTATCCCAGGTAGAGATGAGCCGCGACAAGCTCATCCCGACACCCAATACGTCACCAACCAAAAGCACGCTCTTACTTCTTTTGACCCAGTTCCTACAGCTTCTACAGATGACCCAGTAGCTCTTCGTGCTCCCTTTATGTCATCCATAAAACTGGGAGACACTGGCCAACTTTTCTCCATTATACTCATAAATGCCAGGTCGCTGAACAACAAGATGCATATTCTACCCCCTTTGGCTATTCTTGCTGCGCCTGATGCAATACTAGTCACCGAAACATGGTTTGGTTCCTTTACGTTTGATGATTCCTTTTTCATCCAAGGCTACCAGCTGTATACACATTCGCGTACACACAAACGAGGTGGAGGGTGTGCCATTTATCTGCAGCAAAATTTCGCTGCTAATATCGATGTCCTAGATAACACCGAAATATTGGACTCTATGTGGATAACGGTTGATGCCATGGAACCCAAGTTGCTACTTGGCTGCATTTACAGGGCCCCTGATACATCACCTATGAGTGACAAATCGCTAATAACCACTTTTGAGCTAGCTGCGAGCCATCCATGTGCATGCAAGCTTGTGGCGGGCGACTTCAATCTTCCTGAAATCCAGTGGTTTCCACCCACTGCCCCAGCGAAGTATAGTGGGCTATTAGCCTGCATCAACTTGGGAAGATGGGTGCAGCATGTATCAACGCCGTCCAGGTCTAAACACCTGTTAGACCTGATATCTACACTGGGTATATCCAATATACGTGCATCTGTAGGCCTAGAGTTTCCGGGGAGCGACCACAGAGTGGTATACTGCTCGCTGTTTGCAAACATCCCGGGAATCTGTACGAGTGGATCAGAGGCCATTGAGATATTTTGGCCGATAAGCTCCATAGACTGGCCCACATTAGCCACGATTATTCGAGCAAGGAACTGGGAACTGTTCTTTCTGTCCGACTCCCTGGAGAAATCGTCCGCAATATTTTATGGCGAACTGAATTATTGTCTAGACCTTTTGGCTCCATTTACTCCTTTAAATAAAAGTTCAGGAAAAATTAGGAGGCAAACTAAGCTGCATGCAAGGTTGAGACAACTACGACGTTCCTACTACAAGACGTTCAACTTTGCGCATGTGCTGAGAGCCAACGAGATTGCAAGCCAGCTATCGTCCAGGTCTCTAATGATTAAAACATCCCAAGAAAGAGCAGCCATGGCCAGTGCAAACAAAGCCAAGCACCTCAGCTGGCGGCTGCTTTCTCGCACTCCTCATTATGGAGCAAAGATCACTTCCATAAGCGTCGGCCCTTGCATAGCATGTGAAGATCCATGGATTATATGTGAGATGTTCAACTCTTACTTCAAAGAGTCCCAGTGTGAAGAACTGTCCCCGGTCACTACTGAGCTGGATGTGTCCGCAAACCAGCTGCTCTCCACGGTTCAGTTCGATCTACAAGGCATCCATTTCGCTATCAAAACCATAAAACCATCCAACAAACTTGGTCCTGATGGAATTCCACCCATACTACTTAAGAATGGGGGCGATGACCTTTCCATACTCCTCTTGAAACTCTTCACACTCTCTATGGAGAAGGGCCAATACCCATTGGCTTGGAAGCACTCTATCATCACACCACGCCATAAAGATGGCTCCGTACAGAAAGTCAGCAACTACCGACCCATAAACCACACATCTATTCTCTCACGTGTGATGGAGAAATCGGTTAAGCGTGCGCTTATGGCCTGCTTGAATGCAGGAGGCCACGTTAGCAGGTCACAGCATGGTTTTCTAAGCGCACAATCCTGCGCAACCTGCCAGCTTGATTTTCTCAACCTGGTCACTGGCGCGATTGATTCAGGTCTGGCGATTATTACGCTATACCTCGATATGCAGAAGGCGTTCGATAGGGTCCCCCATAAACGCCTATTACATAAGCTCAAGGCTTACGGTGTAGTCACGCCTCTGCTTGACTGGCTTAAATCCTACCTAACCGGGCGTACACAGTCCATGAAGGTAGCACACTTTGAGTTCATCCCTGTCACAGTTTCCAGCGGTGTTGTGCAAGGCAGCGTGCTTGGACCAACCCTGTTTTTGATTTATGTGAACGACATCTGTAGCAGCCTGCGCCATGGTCGCCCATTCCTCTTTGCCGACGATATAAAGGTCGTATATGTCTTCCCACCAAGCGCTAACGTATCCGCACTACAAGAGATCCGTGAAGACCTGAAGACCTTAGAGTTCTGGTGTCAAAATTGGCAAATGACATTCCCTGCTGATAAACCTAGTATTCTGACCCACAAATGCTCCATATCGGATGCTGCGTTTACGTTGAATGGTACGCCCATCCAACTAAAAACGTTAGCTACTGACCTAGGTATTCGCTATTCCATGACCCTCAACTTTGCAGAGAATGTGCAGTATCAGGTAGCAAAAGCACGCAGAATGGTCTTCCACATAGGCCGCCACATTAACTCGGCTGAAGCACGGTTGGAGCTTTACCGCAGTCCTGTTCGTCCGCAGCTGGAATATTGCCCCTTCATCTTCAGTAATTTGCGGAAATCAGACCGCATATTGCTCGAAAAGGCTCAGCGGCGGTTTACCAAAATAGTAGCCCCATAAGGCCTAGCGCTTAGTTACCTACAGAGGTGTAACCATCTCAAACTCCAGCCTCTATGGTTGCGGCGCATTATCTTAAACCTGTGCTTCTTACATAAGTTAATATACCAAGCGGTGCACAGTGATATCCCCAGCCTGACACTGAGAAGAGGATCAGAATTCAACCTCCGAAACAAGCACTGCACAGTTGCCCCGCTGCCAGCGAGGAAGAAACTACGTTCACGTTTCTTCCTTGTCGCTTATGTAAATATCTGGAACAAATTACCTTCACAGCTGCGGGAGATTCACCATCCACAGACTTTCAAGCAGGAGGTACGAAAGTTTATGTGCCTGGATAACATACGACGCCTTTTAAACATTTGTGCTTCTGATGACAACCTTTTTGAGACCGGCCCCGATGGGGCATAGATCACATTTTGGTTAGCTCTAGCGCAACTTTGTATTGCGCTCAACTAGGCTCCATGACAGGAGCATCTTGGGCTCACAGGTCCTCCCCATACTTTGCGGTGCCTGTCACACTACGTGAGAGACCTTGGCCCGATCAGTTGCACTCATCTTACAGATGTTCGGACTGCTACTCCGACCATAAAAGGTATTCAGCCTACCCCAGTAGTAGCTGAGCGCTTTACTGGCTCCCACCGACAATTAGTTGAATGGGAAGTCTTGAAACAGTAGACGCTACCGCAAAGGCAACCTGGAAATGCTACTCGGTAGCTCAAACCCTTTAAAGCTCCTTCTCGACGCCCAGTTTCTTACTGCTCAACAGATCAGCACGTAAAGCAGCCTAGTACTATTGAATGGGAGCATCGTAAGCCTGTAGGCACTGACCAGGTAGGATTTTGCATAGCAATGGGGATGCAATCCGAACGGACAAACTTTACTTCACTTCTCCCTTCTCTTCTACACTTTGGTTCCTTCGTCTCCATCTTTACCCCTTAGTATTTTCCAAATACCTAGTCCACTAGGTCTCTTGCGAATACTTATACTTGTGACCCATGAGTCACGTCTACTAAAAACATTTTAACAAAATTAAGCCTCATGTAAAATGCCAGGTTCTAGCGTTGTTGGCCTAATTGAAGCTTTTTCATTAAGTCAGAGCACTAGTTGCTATAGTCAGCAGTTTCCAAACACCATCAGTAGGCAAGCCGCAAAATAAACAATATATCCTTCTTATTGTTGACAATGAGCGCACTTTAAAAGTTCTAGACCCAATAATCAGACATTTTGCTCTCCACTTATACTCTCTTGGCCCCATATACTTAGCTTTATCTGGTATACATGTGCCTTTCGCTATTGTCAACACTAGTAGACAGGCATAATGAAAACCAGATCCTCTTCTTTAACTGCTTTTGCTCGTAAAACACTCGCATTTCCAGATTTCATTTCACTGGCACGAAAGCTAACCAATGCCAGAGTGGCCCCTGTCACACTGGCTGGCTGGAGCACCAGAAACTTTCCATCACCACTTTTCTTATCTTGGCCGTCCGTGTGTCATTTCCCTTTTAGCTGGCTCCAAAGCCTACCATGCGCTATGCGTAATGGCGGGTGAACGACCAGCTCCCACTGGTTTTTGTTACTATTCTACTCCTGATTTACCTTATCGCTATTTGCTTAGGGTGCTAGAACAGCTCTTGCCAGGAAAATCACAAAAGAAATAGTCGGTGTGACATTAGAGTGCCAGTTAACATTGCCAACTGGATGAACACCGCCGGCACTATCTTCGTAACTTAAAAATAGAGAGAAATAAAGCGAAATTCATCAAAGAGATGCACAATAGTGTGCATCTACACATGCGGCATAACAATACCTCAAGTATGAGCAAGCTCAACCACCAGAAGTAGAGTTCTTAATGCCCAACCAATGTAGACCAAAACGGATTTCACCCCCAAATGCAATTAGCTAAATTTTACTAAATTTTCCCATGCTTATTTCTTTATTATTGGTGGCAGGCTCCTACAGCTCACTGAAGTTAGAGACAGAGCCACATGAATATAGAAAATCGGCTCTAAGGGATAAATCTTGTGATGTTTAGCTAAGTAATGTGTGTATTTCGTAGGCCGAAATCTGTTAATGGATCTGAAAGATCCCCAGGGTTGCTCAGGTAGACCTGGCTCATGCGAGCTTGTTGTAAGCTTTAGGAAAGCTTAGAGGCTTAAAAAATGCTAAACTCTATTTTACTGGTTGTTTATGTGGCTCAGTATCCACTGAAA